CTCCCACCCTCCGCCCCGCTCCGCCGAACAAAAGCGCGCGGCGTTCGTGAGTCGCTGTTGCCTACGGACGCAAGGCAGATCGCTTATCGACGTTTGTGCTGTATGTTTTGTAAAAGGTTTAATGGGTTTTGATGTTTCGAATATAACTAAACGATGAGTATCTAAAAATATCGATAAGATCGTATCAATATTTTATAAACATACATTTTTTTAAATTTCTGTGTATGTTCCTGAAAGATATTAATCTATTTTTCGTTTGGTTCGGGGAAAAAATCATTATCTTTTTGGTTTTGTGACAAACATATATGAACGAACTTTTAAAATGTTAATTAGTTGTTTGCGGGAGCATAAGAGAGTTTAACGGATATTGTATATGTGAGGTAGTGGGTGCTAAGGCAGGAGAGGAGCGTTGGGAATAGAGGTGTAGAGGCGTAAAAGTGGAAGCTGCGGAGGCGGACAGAGAGATGGTAGCACTGGTAGAGGCTGCAATTGGAGAAGTAGAAGCGAGGCGGCAGAGGTAGGGTGGGCAATGGAATGAGAGGGAGAATCGGAAGCAGGCTTTTTTGGATTTGGCAGGGCGGCGGTGGTTGCGTGACGTAGAAGGTATAGAGGAGTTACTTTACGAGAAAAGAACCACACTGAGAGATCGGTAGACTAGTTATGCAGGGCGATGACATTGCAAGAGATAATGATGAAACCATTTACAATTGAGCCAACTGTAAACGAGCGCACTGACAAAATGAGTGCATGGACGTGTCCTGTAGATATTGCCAGCAATGGTCAAGCAGTAACTGTCAAAGCGGTCCCTTCTTATAGAAATATCTCTATACAGGCGGATCGGGGCAAGTGAGGTGGTGAAGATACGGTGAAAGAGCCGGTAGCGGCGAGCACAGGAAGCCGCGCGGAGACGTTTCAGGCTGAGGTGGGAAGGGGAGTCAGTGATGACAAAGAGAGAGACTGAGAACGGGGCGGCGGCGGAGGCGAGAGCAGACGCGGTGGCGCTTTAGGCGGAGTGGTGGATGTGATGGGGCTGAGACGACAGAGGAGAAGGAAACGGTGCAATCACTAAAGGTAACGGGCGCTTTAGTCGCTGCCTGGAGAAGAATTCTAGAGACCGGCTACTCTGATCTGTAGTTTTCGGTGATTTCTCCTATGAACACCGAGCGAATGCGGGAGCAGTACCCTAACAAACAGGCGCGATCTTTTCTCCCTCTTCCTTGACCTATTCTCTTGCCCACACGCTTACACTACACAAACACATAACCCGGGAGACATGTCGGAACCTTAGAGCTTGTTCCGACTGGGGCGGTGCCCCGCTGGTGGGAGATACCTGGTTGAGGGAAACCCCGGTATCCGACGGTCAGTTAGCGAAAAATTTCGCCATCCAATGGGGGGAGATCACCCCACCGGCCGAGGAAAACATGCACTACACTTACGGGACATATGAACCCTTTAGTTGACGCGCCCAGAATCACTAAGAACCAGCCAATGAATCAGCATTCGGGGGAGGTGGGGGTGGAGAGGTCGATGGATGAGATAGGGGCGAAGACGGCAGAGGAGGCTGAGGACGATAGAATCAGTAGAGGTGGAGACAGTGAGCGGGGTGGAGAGGGCGATTATGAATGCGTCGGGGACGAGGGCGGAGCGGGTCCGCGAGCGCGAACGATGCGCGGGCGGGAGCGGGCCGGGAACGGGAACGGGAACGGAATATGCGAATTGGCAAAAGTAGCCTGCGTCGTGGGCGCCGGAGGTGGCGAAGGGCGGCGAGTCACGCAGGCGGCAGGGCGCCTCTGTTCTAAGGCGAAGGCTCCCCCACTGCGTGCATCGAACTCGCTTCTAGAACTGAACCAGTAGACGTCCGTGGCCGGAGTCAACAGACACTTTGTCCTGCTGACGCCGCGTGTTTAGGCGCAGGAGTCAACGTTTCGGCCGTCATACTGCAAACTTCCGCAGGGCGAAACGCCTACTCGCAGTATGACGGTCGAAACATTGGCAATAGAGGATAGCAAAGTGTCTATTTAAACACGTGTCTGTTGGCAACTTGGTCCAAGAAGATATCTAGGGAATCTTCCAGAAGATATCCCAGTAATTCATTTTGTGCCATTACTCACGTTGAACGTGTTTTCTTGAAACAAAAATTTGAATTGTTATTTACTCAGATATAATATTTTAATTGCATACGTATGTTTACTAAGGTCTTTATTATCATAGTGCACCAATCAATATGTTATAATGCACTTTAAACTGTATTGTAATGTTCAAAATTAATTAAACTAATTATGCTCTGTTATTTTGTTGTACTTCTTTTAAAAATGCTTCTTGGATCACACTTTACCAGCTGTATTTTCTCCAGATATGACAGAAAATGTTCTCCATGTACCTCATAACTGATATTGAGAATGACACTGTGAATCTCGTATAGTGCACTATTTTTAGTAGTAGCTCTAGTAAAATTGTATTTCTAGAAACGTAATACTCCTATCCCATCTGAGATAAATTGGACACCCAGCGGTTTCTTCATTTTTAACGTAGCACGCAATCATGTGACGCAAGGAAATAACTGGGAGTGTTGCCACGAATGAATGCAACTGCTGGCGTCAATTTTTCATAAGAGTTCCGGCACAAACCTTCCTCCATCCACAATTTCTTCAGCATTATTCATTTCTTAATGGGCGCAGATTTCCTGCTGTTGTCGCATTCGAAATAAGAGGGCGTCCGTAAATTAAGAATGGGATCTAAAAACGGAAAAGAGTTGACCCAATTACGACATGGATCATAGCTCTGCGATGCATACCAAACGAGCTGTTTTATTCCTGCATTCCCTGGAATCTTTTGGTGACAGCAAAATTGTGTATTTTATCACCTCTTTTCACCTCGACCCTTAAAAAATTGTTTGAAATGTTTTTCATAAAATTACTTTGTATATAAGATTGCGTAGCGGAAAATTATCTATTGGAAATTACATGTGAATACCTAGATTTTTGATTTCTTCTTTCTTACAAAAGCGAAAGAAAGAAACAGTAAGCCTTTGTAAGAAACAGTGCAAGTCAAGGTTTTGGTCATTTTTAATTAGTGGCGCAAGTATAAAGATTTCCTATCGATATATCAAAATGTAAAACTTGTTATTTTGAGAAGTAGCACAAGTTGAGGTCTAGTGCTATCAATCAAAAGTCCGTGAAGTAACCAATTCGTATATTATTGATTTTGAATATAATTCATTCCACTTATTGACATGACTCCAATAACTTTTAATGGTGTGTTATTATCTAAACTAATATTTAAGCCAACAATTAAATTTTATTGTTTATTGAACAACACTACTCGCGCAGTATTGTTTTTTCTTATATGCACAATTGAGTGTTTTGAAATAACTGCAGAAGGCTAACTGTTGGATATTTTAATAAACTTTATTCATACAAGACAAAAAAATTTACAGAATACATTTCTTGAAATATTGTAAAAAAGTCTTAAAAGTGCTTCGAAGTTTGTACTATAGAAAAATACTATTGATATGAAATTATCTTTTATTTTGAAGTCGAATGAAATCAAAGCTAGTGATGTCACAGCTGATCAGATGTAATCACATAATGTGTTCGGGTATTTATTTTTTAAATAAAACTCTTTTCATTCGACCTCTGATCAAAGCCATCATTGTATTCTTTCTCTCTACAGCTTTGCCGTTAGAGCCACGCCCTAAACAATGTTGCACGTTTCAAATTTGCGTATGATTCGCCGTCCATGCCGCTTCTTATGGTTCCTGCGAAGGGTGTCCGGGAGATTTTCCACTTAGCTTTGCCTTTATGTCACATAAATTATTGGTTGTAGTTGTGTCCTGAATTATGAGTTAGCTACGATCTTTTTAATTGTTATTATTGTAGTATTGTTATTATTTTACTTTCGAACTATCTTGAACGTCGCGTAATATCATACCATTGATTTGCCTATGATAGGGACGTAATTATATCTCATGCCACTCAATGCTGGAGCGTGATGATAATTTTCTGCAATAATTGAGGCTCGTGTGTTTGACTTACAGGTTTCCCCGTGAGCAGCAGACGCTGCCCAACCACTTCTACTTCACGGACTTCGAGCGGCACACCGCCGAAATCGCAGCCTTCCATCTCGATAGGTGAGTACCACCTCCCGTTATTTTATTCGGCCGAGGTGTTAGGGGACATTGATGACCAAGATGTTGCAACGCGGCCTATTTATATTAAACATTTTAAGATAAAAAATGCTACAAAGCGTGTTCATAATATATATCGAGTATCTACTCGAAAAAGAGTACGGAATGTATTTACTAATAATAGATGGTTTATTATTAAGGAAGCGTGGAGGGCGATCTTGAGCAAAGTTCTCACACGCTCTTTCCAAACGTGAAGTGACTAGTACGCGAGGAAACAACAGCCGAGTCCGAGCGAGCGCTAAAGTCAAATCGACGCAGCGGAGAAAGCCCCCCATATATGTGGTCGCCGCCACCGCCACCGCAACTTTTACCCTTTTACACAAAAGTTAAATATTCACTTTCCGCCTTTTTTTAATCTTCCGTAAAACCTCAGCGTACATTTGAGGGCCCTACTCCTAAATAGTTTCATGACAAAACATATGTTCATGACGAAACATGTGTTCACGACAAAACATATGTTCATGAGAAAACTTGTTTCAATAACATATTGGACAAGGAAACAAGACCTGATATTAAAATTGGACTCGACTCAATTAGTTGCTCTACCAATTAGTGACATTAACAAAAAAATCGGATGAGTGAGTCGTGAACACATAATCATTGCCGAGAATTCGATTATATCAAGCTCCAAAAGATTTGTTAGTGTCTCCAGTTTCTGCATGACATGAAAGAGTTGCAGCGAATATTGTAAATTAACTATCTTCGAATGTTATAATCATAGTGCAAACCTAGAACATGTGAAAAGACGAGAAATTTAATAACCATTCATTCCTTCTTTAAAAAACCATTTAACGTAACAGAGCAACTTGCAGCCAATTTTGTATTCAACCTCAAATTTCCCTCTGAAATGTTTAATTTTAAAGCAAGAAATTCGCAAATTCGTTTGTAGCATCGACATAGAAATAATACACAATCTGTTTGTAGGTTACGACGTAGAACATTGACGACAAATATTTCACCAGGTTAATCGCTTTCTGTTCCACTATGTGGCAAAACGTTGTACGATTTTCGAGCGGATATTAATTATAAAATAGAATCTCTGCAATTATTCATAGCGTGCTGCTCGGCTGGGTGGAAATGGGAAGAAGCGAAGTGGCAAATGACCCGCTCCCCCCACCCCCACGTCGCCGACGCTGCTCCTCCCTGCGCTATGATTCCCGATGAATAATGAAGGTGCGGCTGGGAGGGAGGAGAGGAGTGAGGGGGCTTGGCGTTGAGAGCAGCGGTAGGAAATTTGCACGTGGCCTCGCGCACTGGCTGGATACACTCTTTCCACCTCCGCCCCGCCTCCCCCACGTCTCTTGTCGCTTCTGCCCCGCCTC